GGCTGAGAGTGGACATGTTGCGCGATTCAAGGGCCGCAGATGGACTGGAATCGAGACCGAAAACAAATAAACGCAACAGGAGAGGATCCGCTGGATGCCAGCAAATAATCGAGGACTTGTACTTGTACTAAGACTGGAGAAAGTTTCTTCCGAGGGGACGGTTAGATAATTATAATCGGTATTTCTACTAACGGAATTGTAGTCTTGCAGATGCCGCTGAATGCTGGAATGATTAGTTATTTTAACAGGACGGGTGTATGCCGAAAGGAATCGATAAATTCGGACTTATCCGGAGGTCTCGTAAAAACAATTTGGCGGTACTCGACCTGTTACTTTAGTTTAGCCGGTGCAACGGGGCTCGCATCCAAATGAGACGATCCGCAGCAGATGTGGGATGATATTTATTGGGAAGCGGTTAGACGGTTGCCGTCTCGCCGAGTTGCGGTTATTGAGGTGGACAGGAGGAGGACTGAGCCGGGTTGTAATTAATTAGGTTCTGGAATATTTATGATGGTTCGTGAAATATGATACAAGCGGGTCGGTGCGGGTTCGGGTGTTCCAGAGGAAAGAGGTGGAGAAAAGTGCTAATGGGGGTTTGTAGAAGGAAAGTAGGAGGTTAAGAGTGGAAAGAAGGTTGTGAAGCTGTTGTAGATGTATTAAGATGGTCCAAAGTAAAGTTTGTTGAGAGTAATTTGTTAAATTTAGTGGGGGTGATTTTATACCTACATATAAAGTTTAGGTGATTATAAAGAAAAGATTGAATTAGGTGATTTTACAAGAGGTGTTACAAGTGAATTGGACTATTTTCGAGTATAATTTACTGAAATATGATTTTTTAAATAATTTGGCAAGAATTTACCAATAAATTAGAAAAATTTTAAGGGATACTTTGCTAAATTAGTGGATTTTCAGGTGATTTTGCAAGATTTTACAAACAATATTAGACAATTTTTGAGTGTAATTTTCTAAATAAAACATTTTTAGTTAACTTTACAAGAACCTGGAAAAACGAAAATTAGACCATTTTCTAGAATAATTTTTTAAATTAGAGATTTTTAGTTCATTTTATAAGATTTTGCTGGAAAATTATACAATTTTCGAGAATGATTTTCAAAATTAGAGGATTTTTAGTTGATTTTTCAAGATTTTGCAAGAAAATTATACAAAATCCGAGTACAATTTTCTAAATTAGAGGGTTTTTCAATTGATTTTACAAGATTTTGCAAAAGAAAATTAGATCATTTTCAAGTATAATTTTCTAAATTAGAGGATTTTTTAGTTGATTTTACAAGATTTTGCAAAAGAAAATTAGACCATTTTCAAGTATAATTTTCTAAATTAGAGGATTTTTTAGTTGAATTTACAAGATTTTGCAAAAGAAAATTAGACCATTTTCGAGAATAATTTTCGGAATTGGATGATTTTTTATGTGATTTTGCAAGATTTTACAAATTTAGACAAATTTCGAGTGTAATTCTCTAAATTAGAGATTTTTAGTGGATAATTTTCTAAATTAGACGACTTTTTAGTTGATTTTATAAGATTTTGCAAGAAAATTAAGTCAACTTTCGTGTATAATTTTCTACATTTTCTAAATCAAAGGATTTCTTAGTTGACTTTACAAGATTTTGCAAGAAAAGGTAGCTATTTTAAGGTAGTATTTTGAGGTAGCTACTTACAGACCGAAAATTACATATTACATTATTATTACATATTATTACATATTATTACATATACATTATTACATATTACAGACAGAAAAAGTGGCTGTAATATGTATACGTAGAAGGCAAAGGAGCGGCGAGTGCGGAGATTGTTCCCGTTTTCTTAAATTGAACGTCGCTACAAGTGAATGTCCATAAATCCTTAGCGAATGTGCACCGAAGATAATTGGATAGGAGCGACGCGAATTTATATCCGTATTTAACGCTATCAGAAGAGATTTGTTGAATTTGTTTGTCCGGATTTAGCGCTCTCGATGGGCGACTTTGCTGATTGTCATTGAAAGTTGCGACGCTACCGGGATGATAAATCGAATCGATTCCGCCTGCTCCACCGTTCTCCATGAATTTTCGCCAAAAATTCTACCAAAGTGCGTTATTTATTCCATCTTAAACCGAATACATCTGTTATTCGATATTATATTTTAAAAGGGCGAAACGGGAGCGCCGTTTTATTATTGCGTTATCCTTTTTACTAATGTAAGGGTATCGATTTCGACGTTTTTTTGTGGAATGTAATCGGAAACCGGCTCGCGATCGGGACTTTGTATACACGCGGATAATAGTTGGACGCAATTAACGCTCGTTTTGATTCCGGTTACAAATTGGACGTCCAATTTGGCCGAATTCGAATTAAACGAGCTATACACTCTTTCTGATACGGTTTTTGCAGTTTAATAGTGCACGGTGCATCCGTCGAATCGCTGATAATTAGGAGATAATACGAGATAAAAGAGATGTGGTTTGGATAAAAGTTTTAATATTGGAAGCTTTAGCTAAGTATGTGGTGCTGATAGAGAAGAGCATTTTTGAAATTCGAATTTATGCATGAACATTGTTCAATGTTCGAAATTTTTAATATACAGGGTGTCAAGAGGAATGGTACATATTTAAAGAATATACAGGCACTTAAGAGTAACTTAACCTCTATAAGTCGAAAAATATTTGTTCAATTTAGACTCTTCTATTAAATTTAAATCTAAAATTATTCACTTTAAACAAATTTTACACTAAATAATCTAATGAAACTCGCATGGTAATTAATACTAAATTTTTATCGCCGATGCACATACACTCTCCTCGTAGTAGCATCAGCATACATTTAATCCTCTCGAGATCAATCTGCATCTCCAGTTATTCCCCGTGCATCTAACAACACTCCAACCATCTGCGGTTTTATTAATTGTTCCATCCCCCAGCTACCCGGCTTAAACAGCAAACTTTACCTAATTCGGAGTTAGGCACAGGAAGTTTCGTCACTAATTTGTGCATCAGCCTCGGTCTCTCTATATATCGGATCGCGCGAGTACTTTATACGGAAACTAAGATAGTTAGGTTGTTTATTTTGGCACCTTTTGAGTCCCTGGAGTGTATTTTTCGAAAGAAATATCGCAATTTTTTAAGTGTATTGTTCATTATGGTGGATATAGAGAGGATATAGAGGAGTATATAGAAGATTATACAGAGGAGTTTAGAGTAGAGAAGTTTATAGAGAAATAAAATGAAGATACCTACAGTTCGATAGGAATAGCTGGGGAGGCGACCTGCGCAAGTTTACTTTGGAAAAAACTATAATTGGGGATAGAATAGTTATTACAGAGGACATAGAAAGGTGGAGGATATAGATTGGTATATCTGTAGCAGTAAATAGAGGAATAAAATAATTGTTATTAAAAATCCGGCAGACGCAGCGGCGGAAATCATTAGCGCAGCAAGTGAACGGAACGAAAGCCATAAATAAATCGCGTACCGAGAGTACAAGTTAAAAGATTCCGCATACGGGGCGAGAGAGAGAGAGGAGCGCCATTAGCGAAGACTGTTGCACCTTCTCCTTACGTTATTATCCCGGCATCCGGCCGTGATAAACGCCCAAACAATATATCATAACCTGGGGCGAAGCTCTCTCTGCAGCTATACCCGGTGCAACCTGCGATCCGCAACACGCCGAACTCTGAACTGCATTTCGCCCGACGTCTGCACGTAATAAAGAGGAGCCCTCGGGGTCGTGCAACGAATAACTTTGCGCACTTCTGCCCGCTTATTAATTGTTATATCTGATATTACTCTCGCTGTATATTTTGCTCGATCTTCGTCAGTCGGTTGGAAGTTCTCGAACGTCAGTCGGCTCTTTATAATAAATAAATGGGATGTTTGGGTTGTAGGTAGCTAAGCGATGGCGTAATTAGCTCTTCGGAAACATCATTATGCTCGCTAAACGGGTATATGAGGTGTTTATTTGGTTAATGTACTGTAAAAATATTATTGGGGATTCCCGGAGAAATTTTAAAAGTGTTATACTACGTTTATGCACCATCAGGAGATCAAAATAGAGATGATTAAACCAGTATAAAATCGTTGCTTGTTTGGAAGTTGGTAGATCTCTAGTTAAGTATACAGGGTGTCCCAAATTCGAGGAATACGTCAGAATATACTGATAGTAAAAGTTTCTTGAAGCAGAATATAATAAACAAATAAAATGTAGGCACTATTACATTATTAATTTTATAAATAAATAACGATATTCTGTTAATTCAAAATAACTTAAACCAACTGTATAATATCTACACTCTTATTTTCCCTTAACTTTTCGATCACATAAATTCAATTTTCTCAATTAATTAAGTGCATTATTAAATAATTTTGACTTAATTCCAACATTTTATTGACTCGCCCTGTACACCGTCAAATTTCAATATTTCATTACAGGTATATTTTAATTCCCCCATTTAGATATCCCGCGTATTGCGTAGTAATCGCGAATAATTGCATTAAATAATAATGGATATTATTCATCAACGATGGCTCGCATCGTAAATTAATTCCCCGTGAATGCCAGTCGACTACAATAGTTTATGCACGGCATCGAATAAATTTCCCCTTCATGCAGACCGCATTGAATAAATAATTTAACGTATTAGAGTTGTATAATTTCGGGGATTTACTGTATACATAGAGTAAGGATCGGTCTTATAATATGGACCACCGCCATTTTAAAAAGAACATGCTTTATATCGAGTAAATGATCATCACATACTAAACATCATTCCTCCCTTGACCCATCTGTCGCTTGCAGTGATCCAGGATGCACGAATATATTTACGACAGCCTGTTTTAGTTTCTAGCGATTTAATTTTCTAGCGATCTAATTTTCTAGCGAACTTAATGCACATGATAAATTAATAAATATTTCCATATTTTGCTACAGATAACATTGTTTTATTGAACCTTAAAATCTTGTGCTCTTATTGAAACACCCTTTATATCGTATTTTTGTTTCAGTGGTTCCCGTAGGAGTGCCCACGGTGAGCGTGGATAAGGCCGGCTTGGAGCACGGCAGGCCGTTGATAGCCGATTGCAACGCGCCCCCTTCCTATCCGGCATCGAACATCACCCTGTACGTCAACGATGAAAGGGTGAGTTATCGACCGGTATCAATTTCATTTTTTTTTCTCGCGCATTCGGAGTCGATAAATGTAATACGAAAAGAAGTTTATGTATACGCGGAGCATATCCATTTGTCGGTTTCGGGGAGGCTATTACACCGTTATAGTGATTTATGTCCCGTGTAAGGGTCTTTTAAACGATAGGATGTATTGAAGCAAATAATCGCCGCTTCGTGTGCCGGTAGGATTAAAAAAATTGGCTATGGCATACGAAGTATCTTCTACTCTCATTCATCTACTCTGAAATTTATCTAAGCTTGTAAATCACTTGATAAGTAGACTTTGTGACGTGATCTCTAGGTTATTATAAATGTAGTGTATATTTGGATAATTTCCAAAAATACTCACGTATACTGGCATGCATTATTGTATTTCATAATCTAAGGATAGCCGTTGGTAGAGTGAAATATGATCGTATATATTTTTAAAAAAACTATCATACTTGCTTTTACGAGATTTATAACACACTAAATGCTTTATGGAGCCTGTAAAATTGTTTTTGAACGAAGGAATCTACAATTCCGTTTGGCCATAAAACAAATTCGTTACAAACAAAAATTACAATACCTACTGCCGCATTGTTGTTATTGTAAGCGAGCAAATTGAAATATCAAAATTTAAACAACCGACAACGTTTACAGCAAAATTTATTTCACTTAATAAACGCGCGACGGGCCCGCTAGGGCACCTGCGTGGGAATGATCTCGCCGCTTTGCATCCGAAACCCAGGACAGATCTTGCCGAAGGGGGCCACGGCGGGTGGCCGGATGGGCCGCCGCTTGATGTCCACGGGCTCCCCGCAAGGATGCGCCGGCTTCTCGGGCGGCCGGCTCGGCCAGTGCCTGGGTATCTGGTCCTTTTTCAAAGGAGTGCAATACCGCACGGGCACCGCCGGCCGCACCACCGGCCGCAGGACGGCCGCCTGCGGCACGCAGGGCACCGGCAGGATCGGGCAGGGGCAGGACGACGGGCCGCACGGGCACAATGTGATCGGTACGCAACAAACGTTGGGATAGCAGGGCTCGGTGAAGAAGCTGCAATCCATTTCGGGCGACGCGCGACGTGGAATTTTGGACTTTTGATTCGTTCGTTGACGTTTCGTTGAGTTATAATCGAGTGAACTATAACCTGTAGAGTTCTTCTTCTTCTTTTTGCTTTATTGGGTTAAGTCTAAAGACAATTTTCCCAGCTTCTAACCTGTAGATATAGAAATTTCTGCTAGAGTGTGTAGTGAATGCATCAAGGATGAAATGATGTTGCTGGAAAAAGTGTAGGTTTGGACTAACATCAGAATTGGTTTGTTCTAAATGCGAGATGAAGGTTTTAACGAAATTGGTGTCTAAAATCTTGTAATATCAAATACCAATATTTGATTTACACGACCCGGTTGCACGAAACTTTGATCCAGTGTTAACACCGTATTAACCTCGGAATCAAATGTGACAGCCGTGTAAAGTGTAGCTCGAAAATTCGAGCGGTATTTAATCAATAGAAACCCGTTTGCAAATCGACCTTTTCTACAGGTAAAACCCATCTAGTTGGGGGGCCTCGATACAGACATTTCGCGGTGTTTGTGTAGATGGCAGTTCCCTAAACCGAACACCAAGTCGTAGGTAAATTTAATACATATCGAGGGAATCGAAACGAAAGGCGTCCTTCACCTCGTGTTGGACCCTGCTGGTTACACTAGCAAGCGATCTGCGATCCACTTCCGATCCTAAAATTCACTTCTTTCAGTCGTAAGGGGCTGAAAGAATACTGACAACAACAAGGAGGAATAGACTAGAAAAAGTCAAAAGTTCAGGGGGATAAAACCCAAAAACCTAAAAAGTAGTACGGGTTGCTTAGGCTAAAAGTACTACAGCGATGATAAAAAGGGGGTGTTCATGTGCGTTGTCAGGCGTGTTTACTCCCACAAACGGATCAAACAAGTGGTTCTGCGGAAAGCTGGTTAGTGTAACCCGTGGAAAATAATCAAAACATAATAACCTACCCTTTCTTGGTGCTTTTGCGCCTAAACGAACAGAAATGTTTACTAATATTTTATTTTTAGTGTTTGGTTCGTAAAAGGGTGATTTTATACTTATAGAATAACTAAAATTCTTCTATAGGAAAAAGAAAGAGTAATATTGTACAATTGCAACTGTTCTCACTCTAACAACAGTTATTTTAATGATCTAAAACAATCTTTCTTTGTTCAACTTATTGAATTGACAATTCTTACAACTAAACACAGTGGTCAAATGCCAATTACTTTTAACTAATAATCATAATATCGATTATCCTATCATAACGATCTGAAATAAACTGATGATATACAGGTTGGTCCATTTAAAGCAATCCACTTAAAATATTTTTCTACGAGAATTTTTTTGGGAAATCCTCGAGGTCGGTCGATTTTGATTTTAAGGGGGAATTCATTTGATCTTAAATTCGTGGCAACCTCTTCAAGAAAACTAAATTACCCTAGGGGTCAAGTGGCACATTATTTTAAAGGTATATCAATTATCTTTTCAAAAATGCTATTTTTGTCTGTGTTAAAATTATTTTAAAACACTATAGTGGGAGTGTTTATAAAATAAATCTAAGAAAAAAGGTTCCAACCAAATTTCTTAAAATATCTAAATGTTCAAATTGTGACCCATTTTTACGTTATCTGAAAAAATACAAGTGGGCAAAAATCAGTATAAAAATTTAGTTTTCTATTAATAGAAAACTTACTATTCGTTAATATAGTTTCTGGATTAGTTTGTAATTAAATTCCAATAAAAAAAATCTTTTTGACTAGCTGAAATCAAAGCTTGATGTCATCATGAACGGGATTATATTTTCATTTTTTGAATTGCATTTTTCAATTCAATATTTACTACACATTCAAATCCGAACCGCACACTTTATCAATAGATACCGGTTTGCAAACAATTCGACCTTTTCCCCAGATAAAGCCCACCTGGTTGGGGGGGCCTCGATACAAAGATTTCGCTGTGTAAGTATAGATGGCAGTTCCCTAAACCGAACACCATGCCGTAGGTAAACCTAATACATATCGAGGAAATCGAAACGAAAGGCGTCCTTCACCTCGTGTTGGACCCTGCTGGTTACACTAGCAAGCGATCTGCGATCCACTTCCGATCCAAAAATTCACTTCTTTCAGTCGTAGGGGGCTGAAAGAACACTGACAACAACCACAAAACGACAAGAATGTCAAACCAAACCCACAAACCTAAAACGTAGTACGGGTTGCTTAGGCTAAAAGTACTGCAGCGATGATAAAAAGGGGGTATTCATGTACGTTGTCAGGCGTGTTTACTCCCACAAACGGATCAAACAAAAGTGGTTCTGCGGCAAGCTGGCTAGTGTAACCCGTGGAAAATAATCAAAACATAAGAAACTTACCTTTACTTGGTCCTTTTGTGACCAAACAAACAAAACTTTTATTAGTATTTTTAATGTTTCTTCATAATAATTACAGGGTAATTTTATACATGCGAATAACTAGTAACTAAAATAGAGAATAACTTCTCCCTATTTTCCCTAAACCTAAACTGAAATCGAAGCTAATCTAATATCCCTTGATTTAAAGTGCTGTAAAACAATGCATGAAAGAAAGTTTGAGTTTTGAAAAAAAAAACAGAAGTATGATCTAGGCATCGTAGATCGTGGATAGTTGGATACAATAGAAACAACAAATTAAGAAGAAAAGAGTTAAACCTTGAATACTGTGAAGTTTAAAGTGTAGATATTGGCCAGATGCCTATGGGTAAAAGGCCGAAGCTTGTCCTCTACAATTCTACTTTCTTAATATTGCTACCAACATTCCAAAATCATTAATCAAATTCAACTATTTTATGTAATTTCTTGACCGGCTGCGTCAGAGCCATGACAGATTTCCCCCAAAATTAGTCAATAGAAAATTCCAAATTTCTCGTTTTGATGCATAAATAACCTTACAATGGATTGTTGCATGCCACGTTGTAAACCCTGCTGCAAACCGCGCTGCAAACCACAACCTTGCTGCATCCCCTGCTGTAAACCACAACCTTGCTGCATCCCCTGCTGCAAACCACAACCTTGTTGCATCCCATGCTGCAAACCACAACCTTGTTGCAAACCGAAACCGTGTTGTCGACCCGGCAGAGCGCTTATACCGTGCAAACCATGCGGTAAAGAAAAGTTCATAAGGTACAACCCATGCCCTTGTCCGGTAATTCCTTGTCCACCCCCGGAGCCGGTGTGTAGACCGATGCAATGTTGTTTCTGCTGTCCGATGGCAGTATGCGGACCGGTACCGAATCTGAAATGCCGCCCCTTCATGCCCAGCTGTAATCCGCCCCTACGCGAAATCAAACCCCTAAAATGTTGCTGCGGGCCGTTCAAGTGCGTTCGACCGTCGGTGTGCCACCAGCTGCCGGCCTGGTTGCCGCCTTGTTGTAAGCCCAAGTGCTGCAAACCTTGCCCGCCGCCCTGCCCGCCGCCGCCTCCTTGCTGCTGCAACTTGCCGCCCATGTATCACATGGCTAATGCCAGACCCACTATCGTTATCGTGGAGAGGGTGTATCCTTTCCCGAAGCCGAAGAAGAAGTTGTGCCCGCGCGGGCTCTATTGAGGCTTTAAAGAGCCCCCCGTTTGAGTTATGAGTAGGTATTGTCGATAAAGTGCTCACTAAATGTTGTTGGTTTAATGAATGTATGTTTTAAATGTTTGGCAAAATATATTTGAGTCTGGGCAGAATGGGGATTTTTTGTGTTAAGAGGATTTATGTTCTCTATGAGAACTCTATGAGATGAACAAAGAAAAGTTATTAATATAACAGTGGTTTATAGAGAGAGAAATTTGCAATCCAACAATATAACTTTCTTTTTCATTTATATGAGGCTAATGGAAGTCGTCATTATTGCACCTGTTTATCACATGCAGTTGCATAGCGAGTTGATTATTTCAGCTGCATAACAAAGAAGAAATCCTGACACTTTATAAAATGTCATAAAAATCATTAATAATTTCGAAACAAGTCAAAATTTTCAGTAAAAATTAATTAATTCCGAATACTAAACAATATGGGTAAATGCAGACCATGTGGTTCTTGTAGTCCATGTTGTACACCATGCATCCCGTGTACCACATGTCCTCAACCGGTCCCGTGTCCTCAATGGTTTGAGTGTGCCCCAGGTAAACCACCTCCACCTCCTAAGTGCCCATCGTACATGCCTTGTATGCAACCGTGCGAACCACCGTGTTGTTACACACTGTATTCCTTGTGTGGCTTGCCCAACAAAGATTGTTGTTGTAAAGATTGTAGTAAATAAAATAGGAGAGAAGAATCTCTGACACTTCGAATATCATTGTCATTATAATTCAAATTTCCAGTGTAAGTAAAATTATATAATGCAAAAAATACCCAATTAATCGCGAATACGAAACGAAATGGTGTTTCCTTGTGCTCCCTGCGTTCCAGGCGGTCCATGTGGTCCATGTGGTCCATGTGGTCCATGTATTCCTTGTCCCCTTCGTGTGCCGGTTGCTCCATGGTTTCCATGTACCCCAGCCCCGCCGGCTCCATCTTCCAGATGCTTTCCACGCACCTCCTGCGGCCCGTTCGAACCGCGATGTTGCTTCTCAGTCCGTTTCTAACGCCGTTTGCAGACCACAAATGGATCAAACAAGAAAGAAGAAACTCTGACACTTCCAAAACCATTGTCATTCAAGACACACAATCGTTTAGAAACCGATCCAAAATTCCAGTGAAAGCAAAAAATATCCATTAACTGCGTTAGTAAGAAACGAAATGGGGTTTCCTTGCGGTCCATGTTGTAGCCCATGCGACCCTTGCATGCCTTGCGCTCCTTGGATCAGATGCGCCCCGGCTCCTTGTCCTCCACCTAGATGTCCTCCACCGCCTCCGTGCGCCCCATGCGCTCCGTGTATGCCGTGCATCCAGCCCTGCAACCCCCCGTGCGTGGCTTGCGTACCCTTCCGACCGGCGTTGTGCTGTTTTCCAGCGGTAGTTTGTCGACCGAGGTGTAGGCCGAGGTGCTGTTTGCCTCGCACCAAGCCGGAACCCTGTCTCTGCGGACCCATCAACTGCGTGCGGCCCTCCATTTGTTGCAGGATACCCACGCGCAAACGCCGTTGAGTTTCTCCGTTCGCAATAAGGGAACCAAAAATATGTAACTAAGTGGTAACGATGCTATGAAATAGAAATGCAATTTATATGTCTCGTTTTTTTATTGTTCCGAGAGTAGAAGTGTCTCTCCACTTTTACTGGTATTTAACATGGGAACATTACTCCGTAAATTCGCCGTTATATTTACATAAATCTTATTGTAGCGGGTAAATTAAGCGTATAGGTCGCGGAAGGGTCGAAAGTTTTATTTTATGCCCGTCCCCATCGGACCTGGACAAATCCGAGAAGATGCCCTCGGGGGCAAGAAGAGAACAATTAGGCTCGGGGTCGCCGCTGTGCAAACTTAAAGTAATTAGTCGGACCTACGCTAGTTTAGTGATTAAAGGACGAAATAATTCCGGCGACCGTGTGTGGATAGTTAATTGTTAATCAGCCAATCGGCGAGGGCAGAGGACGGGCGGCCATGTCGAATTTATAAACTGTGATATGCCGAATTCAAATATGTGTGTATATACCTGATGCCTGGTGCAGCTGAGGGTCGAGTAATTCTTGCGCTAAATGTTTTAGGTAAATGTTTTGGTCCTTTGATAATGTATTCGATGTGTGAATAGGTGCACTCGATGCGAGTGCAGTGCTTGGATTAGTTCAAATAAAGCGCTAGTCAAAATTAAGGTTTGAAGAGTAGGTAAAATGGGAGGATTTGATGTATTTTTAAAGGATATTTAATGACTATCAGGGCGTTTTAAAGTCCTTTTAGTAATGTTTGTTTCTTCATACAAGCTTTCTGATGATTGTTATCATATTTTCAACTAGTTTCTCAAAGTATTTGATTAAAACATTTCAAAGCTCTTCAACTAAAAGGATTTTATCCTATTTTTAAACCAATTAATTCTAGTAATATTTACATTGTCCATCCCTTTAATAAAGCAAACGCCTGCCGCAGAAAAATTCAACGAAATTTTTCGCTGTCCTGCCGATCAATTATCGAGGCATAAGAACCGTCGGATGATTTGTTTACCGGCATTTCGGATCGAATCAGCAGTTCGCAGACAGTTTATCATGCTTTCACACTCGATCCGGGGTCCCTCGATAATAATGCTGACCCGCTGGAAAATGGCGTAAGGTAGAAATAGGATTTAAAGGGCGAATCGGCAGCCCGTCGGTAAACAACTTTCGGGATCGATCCCGAGCTAGTACATACAGAATACAGCGAAAAAAAAGCCCCGATATTAATTCCATCACGAGCCGGATGTTGTGCAATTTCGTCCGGATTCGGTTTTAAATGTCCGGAGAGAAATAGCGTTAAGCAAAGTTAATTAGTCGAATGCTCCGATGCAGTTATAGGAAAATTACCCTTGAGGGTAATTACCACCTCGGAACATGCAAACCGCAGATTTACACGGAACCCTGTTGCATACTTAAACTCACTGCTGAAGTGATATTTATATCCTCGTGTTGGAAATTTAATTCTTCAACTCGCTCAATAATATCTTTGATGCGCGGTAGGAATTTGCGCTGATCATGTCGCTAATTATTCTATTCGATCTGTACGTAGTTTGCAAATTTTATATACAATGAAACGAATGGAATTCGTAATTAGTGTAAATGATTAAACAGTTTTGCAGATGAAATGCAGAACGCGACACAAATAAAAAATTCATAACAAATAAAACGATAAATCGAACGTGTTTTTCCATCGAATGGGATGAAGTATGGGCCGCAAATGTGCCAGAAACTAAATTCACCATAAACAAATCTTGACGGATAAAGTATCCACGAGCCATTGCGGGATTTCCAACCCTCCGATATATATTTATCCTTATCCTTTATATCGGAGCCGATCCGATCCTTCCCTTTCGCAAGCGATCCGTATTTAGATAGGAAATTCGAATGGAATAATAACGGATAGATTAAACATGGATTCGACGATTCCTCGGCAAAGATGTTAGGTAGCTCTGTTATTATGTTATTGGTTAGTTGCCTTTTCGCAGTTGCCGCTCCGGCTGCAAAGGAAGCTCCGAGCTAGGGTGGAATTTTATCTTTCGATTTATGCGGAGGATTATAAACGCTCGAGGAGAATCGGTGGAACAATTTTCGCCGATTGAAAGTTAAGTAATTAGTTAAGTAATCGTTTGATGCAGAATTTCGATAACCAGTCAGTCAGTTAATAAAGTCAAAATGTCTTAAAATTAGGAGACTATTCAGAGAAGGAGAAAACTATTCAAAATCGTGAAAATGGTCAATACCTATAAGAATAAACTGAAATTGTCCTAATCATCATGAAATACTTGCATTGGTCAAGGATCTTCCTTAAAATTGATGAAATACTTAAAAAAACTATTTAAAAACATGAAAAACACATATTATAGAACACCTATAAGAACAAACTATAATATTTTAAAGCGTCCTAATTACCTTAAAATATCCTTGAAAGTGTATCAATTACAAAAATATCAATGAAAACAGTGCTTTGAATTGGTTAAAGATCTAGTTCTTCTAATATGATCAACAAATATAATTTAAAATTGATGAAATTTAAAAAAAAAACTATTTAAAAACATGAAAAACACTATCAGAAAACCTATAAGAACAAACTAAAATTTTTAAAAGGATTTTTAAACGTCCTAATTATCATAAAATATCCTTGAAACTGTAAGTATATCAATTACAAAAATGTCAATGAAAAAAGTACTTTGAATTGGTTAAATATCTAGATCTTCTAATATGATCAAAAAATATCATTTAAAATTAATGAAATACTTCAAAAAACTATTTAAAAACTTGACGAAAACTTATATGAACAAAATAAAAATTTAACACGAGTGTAAAGCCTTCAAAAAATCAATAAATATCTTAAAAACCATCAAATTCTCCCTTCACGCCTCAGTTTTCTGACAACTTCTCAATCCAGTAACAATCCAGTCTACAAGCCAGTAACATCTGCAAGATTATAGTGTGTAGATAGAAAAAAAAACACAGAGCTGAACATTTTTCGCGTACTGTGCTAATCTAGCGGCGAAAATTTGACAAATTTATGCTGGGTCGTATCCAGGCTATTTTGCATGAACACGGACAATGTTGCCGCCATATGTCGCATAAAAGGGTTGATTTTGAATGTCGCCGGCCGCTTGTCGTGTATCAATTCAATTAGTACAATGTACTCGATGATAGAGTGGGCGGTTTGTTGTTGCGGTCGAGCCGGCTTCCTATTTGTCCCAAAACCCTTTCATGCATTTTTATGCATTTTTTACACAGGGTGGCCAATATACGGGGTGACAATTTAAAAAGTAATATTAGTCCATTGTCACTTAAAATTGATGAAATACTTAAAAAAAACTATTTGAAAACATGAAAAATACTATCAGAAAACCTATAAGAACAAACTAAAATTTTTAAAAGGGTTTTAAAGCGTCCTATTTATCATAAAATATCCTTGAAAGTGTATCAATTACAAAAATATCAATGAAAAAAGTACTTTGAGTTGATCTGAAGTAATAATAGGCCATTGTTACTTAAAATTGATGAAATACTTAAAAAAACTATTTAAAAACATGAAAAACACTATCAGAAAGCCTATAAGAACAAACTAAATTTTTAAAAGTGTTTTAAAGCGTCCTAATCATCATAAAATATCCTGAAAATGTATCAATTACAAAAATATCAATGAAAAAAGTACTTTGAATTGATCTGAACTAATAATAGTTCTATGTCAGTTTTTAAATTGTTACACTGCATCATAACTGGCTAGTCTGCATCTTAAATATTTACGAAATGAAATAAAATGCGCAAATTTTTTCATCTTAATCTTTTATTAATTTTTTACCAATTTTTTCATTCCCATCAACTCCGTCCGCACAGAAACTGCATACTTATGTGATATTATTAGAAAATAATTACAGCAGACGGTAGAATAGATGATATAGTGCTAGCGTGTCCAATAAGAAGACAATTGACTCTAATTAATCCTAGGAAACTCGGCGAGCCCCAGAAGCACCTACTGCGGAGTTGCAGACAATGCACTCGCACACACACCATCTGACCCGCAGTCGGAATTAGAGGCCGGGGTCCTCGTTCCGCCGCTATCACAAACCAATTTCAATTTCGCCCGCCCGGAACCTCGGAATAAAACGCTCCGGGCGCGTTTCCACGGGGGCCCCCCCTTCTCGCAACTTCGCTAATTATTGATTCGATTATTGCTTAACTTTGGGAATTCCGAGTTTAGCTTCGATTCCGGCGTTCTAGGATGTTTCCTATTCACTGCCCTTTGCGCTCTCCACTTTCTGATATATTTTCTCTATAAATCTATTGTTGTGAAGTGGTATGTTTTAAAACGTTAACAGTATTTTTACTTTTTTTGCAAAGAAGTTAATTAAGTCGTTAAGAGAGTAAATAAAGAGTCAGTAAAAGAGTCATTAAAAGGGCTATTAAAAGACTCAATAAGTAAATGGTTACTAAAAGAGTTGTTAAAAGAGTCGTGAAAAAAGTAATGAGAAGAGTCATGAAGAGTCATGAAGAGAGTCACTAAAAGAGTCGATAAAGAGTCACAAAAATGGTCATTTGTAGAGCCGTTT